TGAGAGGAAATTCATTATGCACCCCCGCCCTCTTGGGTTTTAGGGCGGGGAGTGTGGGACTCTCACCCACTAAAACCCCTCAATGGCCTCCACCTTTCCTTTTGGGAGAGTGAGTGGCAGCCCTAAGGCTATTACTTCACCTCACTCCCCCCGGGGGCCTCAAACCGCACACGGCTCCCTTCCGCGGTACTACCCGCTGCACCAAGAGGGGAGGGCCATAACTCCCCTCACAGGTGCCCCACCCTGGGGACTTGTGCAATGGCCCGGAAGTTCCCCAACTTCCGGAACCAAGTCCCCGCCTTTCGTGACCGAAGTCAGGGAAGGGACAAAACCTTTCGCGGTTTCCCCAACCCGTGACCAAGCAGCCACTACCCCCCTCAAAGAGGAAGGGTGGCCGGGTCTGGGAATTGGGCCGGTGCCCAATTTCCCCGTCCCAAACCCCATTTAGGGGTCTAGTTCCAAGCTGGGTTGTGTGCCCAGCTTGGATGACTTCGGTCCAGGGCGGACCTTCCCCTTTTGGGAGGATGAGGGAGCAGCTTCCTCTCCTCTCTGTCGCTTCGGAGACGGCTCCTTTGTGGAGGACGCCTCCGAACCTTGCAGCTTCATGGCTGCCAGCAACTCTGATAGGTTCGGGCCAGAGACCTTGCGGCTCCTGACCCTACCCCTATCCCTACTCGAGGCGGAATGAACCTCTGCCTCTGTCTCCATATCTATGGAGACCAAGGGGGGGGGATCGCTTCCCCGTGGAGGCCCGGTGGCTTCGCGGGTCTTCGAGGAGCCGGAGTGGGGGGAAGAGCCCTCCCACCCCTCACCCTCTTCTGGCCATAACATCCCGAGGCCGACTTCAGGGTCGGGGGGAGGGATGCCTGGCATCATCTCCCCACCTCCCGAGCGGCCGGCCTCCTCCTCTTGTTCCTCTTCCCTTCTCGAAAGAGAAGGGAGGGGAACCGCCGGTTGGGCGTCCGAGGACGCGCGGGGGGCAGCAACAGGTAGCGGTGGACGCCTCCTGCTGCTGGCTCTCCTCTTCTCTGGGATGGGGGAGCACTTTGCCCCACCCATCCTATGGTTGCTGGGCTGCCCCCGGTCCGCACAGAGCAGACATTTCGGGGGAGCCCGACATGCCGGGGCCAGGTGGCCCAACTCCCCGCATCGGTAGCATGCAGCGCCCCGATCCTTGCCCGTGCACGTACGGGCCACATGCCCGTACTCCAGGCAGGGTGATACTCTATTGACCACAGTACGATTCGACACCGCTCGATTCGACACAGATTTATTCGACACGAAATTATTCGACACCGTACGATTC